AACTTAGATGTTTAGTAGTCGTTTTAAAAATAAAAATAAATTTTTATTGGTATGCTCTCTGGGAATTTTACATTGATAAGCCAAGTTTAATTTTATTCCTGTTATAATTTAGGGAGATATCGAGCAAAACAGCATCTTTTCAAAAGTACACGTAAAGTATCAAGATTCAAAGCCAATGAAGCTTAATCTTTCTAATGAATTCCAACCAAATTTTTACTTTTGCCTTCTCGTTCAAATACATAAAAATATTTTAGTGTTTTGTGAAAATCGGTTCAATAATTAGCGAGTTATTTAAAAACAAATTGTGGATCAATACACGTCTAAGCCTGCGATGCTGTTTTGCATCGCTTTCGTTGCTGTTTTTTTTTTTTTACATTTATTAAGTTTAAATGTTTATAAATCGTTTCAAAAATAAATAAGATTATTTTTATTCGTATTTTTGCTGCAAATTTTACATTGATAAGTTACGTTTCAATTTATATAGGGAGATATCGAGAAAAACAACAACTTTTTACAGATACCTTTACTTTAGTGCAGCCGAATCCTTCCTACGAAATCTAGTCAAATTTTTACTATGCCTTTTTATTTAAATATCTAATCTAATAATATTGTAGAGTTTCGTGAAAATCGGTTTAGTAATTAACGAATAATTAAAAAAAAAAAGATTACGTCTATGCCTCTCAGACTGTTTTTTGGATCGCCATTTTCTCGACTTCTTTTGTGCGGTTTCCTTTGAATTAATTCTAATCGAATTTTCACTGTGCGTTTATATTTCCACTCAAATACTCAATTTTTAAGGCACGTGACATGAAATTAAGATCATTGATAAAATAAGGCTGTTTTTGGATAGATATCGAAACAATTTCCCAAATTTATGAACTTCAATCTTTAATAATCGTTAACAACATTAATAACGTTGTTTTTTATTGGTATTTTGGTCGCGAATTTTACGTTTATAAGCCAAGTTTAATTTTATTCCCGGCATAATTTAGGAAGATATCCAGCAAAACCAGCACCTTTTCACAAATATACAAATTTACGCTAATAAAGCCGAATTCCCCCCATGAATTCCAATCAAATTTTTACTTTGCATTTTAAGTCAAATGTATAACAATATTGTCGAGTTTTGTGCAAATCGGTTCAACAATTAGCGAGTTATATTTAAAAAAAAAAGTATAGAGTAATGGACGTTTAATGTAAGTCTTTGAGACTGATTTTGGATAAATTTTGAAACAATTTTCTAAGTTTATGAAGCTTAAATCTTTAATACTAGTGGAAAAAATAAATAAAGTTATTTTTTATTTGTATTTTATGTTGATAAACCAAGTTTTTTCTTGGCATAATTTAGGAAGATATCCAGCAAAAATCCAGCTTTTCACAAATATACGTTTGCTGTAATGAAGCCGAATTGTCCCAATGAATTCCAATCAAATTTTTCTGTAGCTTTCCATAATTTAGGAAGATATCCAGCAAAACCAGCACCTTTTCACAAATATACAAATTTACGCTAATAAAGCCGAATTCCCCCCATGAATTCCAATCAAATTTTTCTGTAGCTTTTAACTCAAATGTATAACAATATTGTCGAGTTTTGTGCAAATCGGTTCAATAATTAGCGAGTTATTAAAGAAATTGAGCAATGGGCGTTTATTTAATTTAAATCTTTGAGCCTGATTTTGGATTGATTTCGATAAAATTTCCTATATTTATGAAGCTTAAATTTTTATTAAACGTTCGAAAAATAAATAAAGATATTTTTTATTGGTATTTTACGTTGATAAACCAAGTATCATTTTAGTCCTGACATTATTTAGGAAGATATGCAGAAAAGCACCATTTCACAAATCGTTCCAATGAATTTCAATCAAATTTTTACAGTTCCTTCTCACTCAAATATAAAACAATATTGTCGAGTTTCCTGAAAATCGGTTTAATAGTTAACGAGTTATTTTTTTTTTAAATTGGAGCAATGCACGTCTAACCCTCTGAGGTTGGTTTTTATAGATTTCAGCACCATTTTCAAAATGTATTGAGCTAAGATTTTTATTAATCGTTCCAAAAATAGATATGATTAATTTTATTGGTATTTCCCTGCGAATTTTGCATCGATAAGTCGTTTCATTTATTCCTGTCATAATTCAGGAAGATATCGAGAAAATCAGCGGTTTAATAATTGGTGAGTTATTTAAAAAAAATTGAGCAAAGCACGTCTAATCCTCTGATGTTGTTTTGAATAGATTTCAACACCATTTTTTAATTTTATCAAGTTTATATGTTTATTAATAGTTCCAAAAATAAATAAGATTATTTTTATTGGTATTTTCGCTGTGAATTTACATTTATAAGCCAAGTAAGTTTCATTTTATTACTGTCATAATTTAGGGAGATATAAAAAAACCAGCATGTTTTCACAAATATTTGTTTAGGCCAATGAAGCGAATCGTTCCAATGAATTTCAATCAAATTTTTACTGTACCTTCTCACTCAAATGTATAACAATAATGTTAAGTTTCCTGAAAATCGGTTCAATAATTAACGAGTTATTTAAAAAAAAAATATTGGAGCAATGCACGTCTAGTCTAACCGTGTGAGGCTGCTGTTGATAGATTTCAACCTCTATTTCTAAGTTTACTAAGCTAAAAAAATTTATTAATCGTTCTAAAAATAAATAATATAATTTTTTTGGTATTTTTGCTGCGAATTTTTCATCGATAAGTCAAGTTTCATTTATTCCTGTCATAATTTATGGAGATATCGAAAAAAAACTGCATCTTTTCACAAACATATGTTTACGCCAATGAAGCCGGATCCTTCTTACTAATTCCAGTTAAATTTTTACTGTGTCTTTTTATTTAAATATCTAATAATATTATCGAGTATTCGTGAAAATGATTTGTTAATTAGCGAATTATTAAAAAAATATGGAGCAATGCGCGTTTAATGTAAGTCTTTGAGGCGGTTTTTTGATAGATTTCGATACAATTTCCTAAAATTAAAAAACTTAAATTAATCGTTCAGAAAAAAATTGAGTTATTTTTTATCGGCATGTTACGTTGATAAGCCAAGTTTCATTTTATTCCTGGCATAATTTAGGACGATATCCAGAAATACAGCACCATTTCACAAATCGTTCCAATGAATTCCAATTAAATTTTTACTGTGCCTTCTTACTGTAAGAAAGAAGTCAAATAAACTTCGCCCGGTTTATTGCTATTATTATTTTGAAAAGTTCTGCTCGTGTGATCGACGAAGTTGTAATAAGAAGGTGCTAGGTCCGGTGAGTACTGAAGACGCGGTGAAACACCCCGAGTTTTAATAATTCGGATTGTCTCGGCGAACGAAAACTCCTTTCTGTTTAGCCGATTCTGACATGATTAAAATTCAAATTAAATTTTCAAATATTTTTAATCATATTTATGAGTTTAAACAGTTTTTTTTTTAAATATACATGTGAAGTGTAAGAAGTAAGATGATTTGCTTTGTTGTCAATTGTCAATATATCGGGCCGTCTAGTAAATCCATTATTTATTTATTTTATACGTGTATTTTACCAAAAACAATTGTTTTTATAGTCTATAATATATTTATTACATGAAAATATAACAAATTTTGTAGTTTTAATGTGAGTTTTGTAAACATTTATATTTAGTCTAGCTGTGTAATTGTAACTGGCAGACAGACAAAAAGACAGTGTTTATTTAATTTAAGTTTTAAGTAGACAAATTGGTAGGTAAGAAGAAAGGTAGAGATAGAAATAGATAGATAGAGGGACGAAGAATAATGGAGGGAAAAATAAAAGTAAAGAAATCATAACAAAAATAATACCAAGAAAAATAATAAGTGATAATTACAAGTAAATTTGACCAGAATTTTGCAGAATTTTTCCAAATAATACGAATAAAAGGGACAAAGGTTATTTGACGAGAAGCCCGCCGAAATAGCATCTGGACCAGTTTTTCTCCACCAGGCCTTATCGGATTTATGAACCCTGTATAATAAATTTTATAAATAAACGTCAATAAATCTTTAATAAAATTTTAATTGCACTCCTTAATAAAAAAAAACGAACGAATTTATTTTTCAAGCCTATTTGAATAATTACTAAAGACAGAATGAACCGATCTACTATCAAATTATCTTTTTTGGCTGTTTTTAATTAATCGTAACATCGGAATATTAACTGTAATTCTTTCACGTCGTCATCGGTGAGATAATTAATATAATATTGTCGAAATTTACAAACTCTTGAAGTGGCAAGGCCTGTGGCGATTAATTTATTAAAAATCTCAAAAGAAAAGGAAATTTTATAAAAAGAATTTTTTTAAATTAAATATTTACGAATTAGAATTATGAAAAAAAGATTACGGGTTAATAGAACCATTAATCCATAGAAATTTATTAGCTCACGGCTGATTTATTTGACTGTCCAAAAATCTATTTTTAATGTCATTTATAGTCCTAAATAAATTTTCTGTCACAAACCATGTCGGTGATAACAGTAGTGTTTAAAGTGGAAGAAAATTTGTAAAAATAAATTTAATTATTTTTTTCCGATAAACAGTGATTGATTGATTTTATTCTCTATCTAAAATTGATTTAGCTGTCCGATTCGCTTAATAAATTATTATGTATTAGCTTATTATATATAAAGAAATGTTTGAAATAGAATCTTTATCTGGGCGAGATGTTTCAAAGTAGAGACTTGCTAAAAGTTTTGGTCAAAAATATACAATTTTGCCGCTTTTTTTTAATAATAATTATTGTAATAAAATAAGATTTTTGATGGTGAATAAATTGGGGTGTATTTTACCCCCTCCCATGTGAAGTAAAGGTGTGCGAAGTTTTTATTTTTTGCCCGTTAAGTCGTACTTGATCACTTTTGCGCGCAATTTGACCTAGGTGCAGATTATACAACCTGAGATGTCCCAAGTATGATAAATCGTCCAAATACTGATAGATTTTTGTATTGAGTGCGCGAAAACAAAAACTTGTGTACTTACGATATTTGTATCCATAAAAATCGAATCGGGCTCGTTTTAAGTCAGGTCTCGACTTTTCGGACGGAAAACGGCCAAGTCGTCATATCGGAGACGCTGTGACGCGTTTCTTCTTCCGAGCCACCTCTCGCGGCTTTCCGAGGGTGACAGTTCTTTAGAGGAAAAAAAGCCGGCCCGGACCGCGTAGACCCTACATGGCCCAAGACTTAGCAGCCACTGATCCGCGAAGAGGAAGCCGGCAGATGGTGCCACGGACCGGAGGATGGTACTTCTTCCTCCCTCTACCGATCCCATAAGCCACGGACCGCCCGGTTTAGCATAACCGTCGTAATCGCGTCAACCATCAAAAAGCAACATCTAACTAACAACATCGATAGGAAACTCTTACGAACCTTTTCAGTCTCGCATCTTCAGCTATTTTGAGTCTTCCTCGCCGGCTTACATAACATATACTCAACTTCAACGATCCTTCCGATTGATTAAAACAACAGCTAGACTCCAAAATGAATTAAATGCTACAAAATCCGGCATAAAAAATCTTAAAACAATAGACGAAAAATAATTCTTATTGAATTTTTACGTCCAGGCCCCACGACCCCATGCAAAACATTCTTGTCGATCGTCGTAAACATTCCAGTCAATTAATTTATCGCTTCAGCATGTCTAATGACCATTTATGCTTCAACATGAAATGAAAAGTATATAGAAATCGTCCCAAAAAATGCCATAGAGGCTTGAAAGTTGCTTTGCGACTTCTGGCCAATAACATTATTTTATCATTGATCTCAATTTCATTCACCTGCCATAAAAATTGAATATTTGAGATAATGCGCACAGGGGACATTTGATTTGAATTGATTCAAACAAAACCGAATCAAAGAAGTCGAAAAAATGTCGATGAAAGCGATCAAAATACAGCCTCAGAGGCATAGACTTAATTTTTTTTAATTATTCGCTAATTATTAAACCGATTTTCATAAAATTCGATAATATTATTAGATATTTAAATAAAAAGGCATAGTAAAAATTTGACTGGAATTCTTTTGAAGGATTTGGCTTAATTGGTGTAAACGTATGTTTGTGAAAAGATTTTTTTTTTTCGATATCTCCCTAAATTATAACAGGAATAAATGAAACTTGACTAATCGATGCAAAATTCGCAGGAAAAATACCAACAAAACTATATTATTTATTTTTGGAACGAATAAAAAAATTTAGCTTAATAAATTTAGAAATAAAGGTTGAAATCTATCAAAACCAGCTTCAGAGGGTTAGACGTGCATTGCTCCATTTTTTTTAAATTACTCACTAATTATTGAACCGATATTCACGAAACTCGACCATATTGTTATATATTTGAGTCAGAAGCAACGTAAAAATTTGATTGGAAATCATTGCAACGATTCGGCTTCATTGGCCTAAACAAATATTTGTGAAAAGATGAGTTTTCTCGATATCTCCCTAAATGATGACAGTAATAAAATGAAACTTACTTGGCTTATCAATGCAAAATTCGCATTAAAAAAACCAATAAAATTAATCTATTTATTTTTGGAACGATTAATAAATATTTTAGCGTAATAAATTTAGAAAATGTTGTTGAAATCTATCAAAAACAGCCTCAGGGGTTTAGACGTGCTTTGTTCCTTTTTTTTAATAACTTTATATAGTTTAATAACTTTATTTATTTTTTGTACTACTATTAAAGATTTAAGCTTCATAAACTTAGAAAATTTTTCGAAATCTATCCAAAATCAGTCTTAAAGACATACATTAAACGCCCATTACTCTACACATTTTTCAGTATAACTCGCTAATTATTAAACCGATTTTCATGAAACTCGACAATATTATTAGATATTTAAATAAAAAGACACAGTGAAAATTTGACTGGAATTCGTTACAAGGATTCGGCTTCATTGACGTAAACGTATATTAGTGAAAAGTTGCTATTTTTCTGGATATCTCCCTAAATTATGCCAATAATAAAATGAAACTTGACTTACAAACGTAAAATTCCCGACCAAAATACCAATAAAAAAATAACTTTATTTATTTATTGCACTATTATTAAAGATTTAAGCTTCATAAACTTAGAAAATTGTTTCAAAATCAGTCTCAAAGACTTACATGAAATGCCCATTACTCTATACTTTTTTTAAATATAACTCGCTAATTATTGAAACGATTTGCACAAAACTCGACAATATTGTTATATATTTGACTTAAAATGCAAAGTAAAAATTTGATTGGAATTCATTGGGGCAATTCGGCTTCATTGGCGTAAACGTATATTTGTGAAAAGGTGCTGTTTTTGCTGGATATCTTCCTAAATTATGCCAGGAATAAAATTAAACTTGGCTTATAAACGTAAAATTCGCGACCAAAATACCAATAAAAAATAACTTTATTAATGTTGTTAACAATTATTAAAGATTGAAGTTCATAAACTTAGGAAATTGTTTCGATATCTATCCAAAAACAGCCTTATTTTATCAATGATCTTAATTTCTGGTCACGTGCCTTAAAAATTGAGTTTTTGAGTGGAAATATAAACGCACAGTGAAAATTCGATTCGAATTAATTCAAAGGAAACACCACAAAAGAAGTCGAGAAAATGGCGATCCAAAAAACAGTCTGAGAGGCATAGACGTAATCTTTTTTTTTTTAATTATTCGTTAATTACTAAACCGATTTTCACGAAACTCTACAATATTATTAGATTAGATATTTAAATAAAAAGGCATAGTAAAAATTTGACTAGATTTCGTAGGAAGGATTCGGCTGCACTAAAGTAAAGGTATCTGTAAAAAGTTGTTGTTTTTCTCGATATCTCCCTATATAAATTGAAACGTAACTTATCAATGTAAAATTTGCAGCAAAAATACGAATAAAAATAATCTTATTTATTTTTGAAACGATTTATAAACATTTAAACTTAATAAATGTAAAAAAAAAAAAACAGCGACGAAAGCGATCCAAAACAGCATCGGAGGCTTAGACGTGTATGCTCCACAATTTGTTTTTAAATAACTCGCTAATTATTGAACCGATTTTCACAAAACACTAAAATATTTTTATGCATTTGAGCGAGGAGGCAAAAGTAAAAATTTGGTTGGAATTCATTAGAAATATTAAGCTTCATTGGCTTTGAATCTTGATACTTTACGTGTACTTTTGAAAAGATGCTGTTTTGCTCGATATCTTCCTAAATTATAACAGGAATAAAATTAAACTTGGCTTATCAATGTAAAATTCCCAGAGAGCATACCAATAAAACTTTATTTTTTTATTTTTAATACGACTACTAAACATTTAAGCTTCATAAATTTAGGGAATAGTGTCGGAATCTATCCAGAAACAGTCTCAAAGACATTAAACACAAATTTGAGTAAGAAGCTATAGTAAAATTTGATTGGAGATTCCAATTTTATTGCAACCATTTGGCTTCATTGGCGTAAACGTATATTTCTGAAAAGGTGCTGTTTTTCTCGAAATCTCCCTAAATTATCCCAAGTACAAAATGAAACTTTGCTTATCAACGTAAAACTCGCGACTAAAATACCAATAAAAAATAACTTTATTTTTCTTTCATAAATTTTACTATACGGTTTAGAAATGTAACCAAAACCAGTTGCATAATTTTGTCAAGTTTAGTACAAATAGGTTCATTATTTACCGAGCGATTAAAGAAAATTTAAAGACCAATGCATGTTTAATCTTTTCCTTCTGACAAATTGTAGCATAATTTTGTCAACTTATTAGGTTTCACATTTTTAAAATCGGTCTAATATTCATGAAAATTTGTTTGTGCTGTAAATTTGACATCGAATTTAAGGTTATTACGGCACGTTTTCTTATATTTTTGAGGTAATTTGCAAGTTTTAAAGAAAATAGGGTATTTTCACAAATATGCCAATGAGCAGATTCTTTTCAATGAATTCCAATAAAATTTGTTCTTTATTGTTTCTCTCGAGTGTACAATATTTTTTTGGTTTCATTATTTAGAGATTTATGTAGAAAATTTAGGAACCAATGGGCTTTTATCCTCTGGAACTCATTTTGTGCCAAATTCAACCAGATTTCCCAAAAAAATTCAAGAATTGCGATATTATCAGTTTCCCTCCAGTGGAAAATCCTCTGCCCACCTCCTGCCGGCGACTGTTATCCTGTTAAATCCATTCCTATAAAGTTTTCCCACGGCATTCCTCAATGAAATCCCTCCTCTCCTCGCGAAGCCGGGGAAAATCGATCCGGCCATGCGCTCTTCCCTCGGAATCCTCATTCGGCAAAGCACCGGCCAAGAGGAAAGCGACGACTTACACTTTTAAAGGACTTTTCCGAGACGCAGCATCATCAAAGTGTCAATCTTAGATGTTTCCGTCATTTCAACGCGCCAGAATTACAACAATTGGATTCAATTGATTATCCCTTAAAGGTAAATACGCATTATATATACATTTACTCATAAGTCACACTGTAATGGATCATAAATTACAATCCAGCAGCTTGATTAGTTCCAGAGGATTAAATTTCCATCGATGTTTATATAAATCATATTATTATGTTACTATCCAGCATTGTTGGACGAAAGGGTCCTGAGGAAAAGGAATCTTTGGTTATTAAGAGCAAGAGATGAGTGAGGTCATTTTCTTCGCAATTACAATCGAATCTCAATCTGAGATTAGCCAATTTTCTGAAAAATTTTATATCTTAATGACAAAATTTTAATAATATATTAAGACAATAATAAGTGTGGGGGCGTAGGTGGCCGCCGTTTCTTGGATATTTGCATATTGTTTATAAAAACTTTTTAAGCTTTTGAAATATTTGGACTTTTCATACTTGTCCAACATTGGAAAAGCTTAAGAAGTTCAATATTTCTGAAAAATCTTCTTTTTTTATAACTATATCATTTTAGCTATTTTCAAATCTTTAAAAAATGCCCAGGGAGAATTTCTTAGACTTACTTGCAATTTTTTGTTTTATCAAAGTTTCGAAATATTTTAATTGTTTATCGTTCGCCTGTGTCAATGTTCGTTTGATCCCATGCGGATTTTATGAGATTTGAAAACGTCCAAAATATGCATATTGCCAGACCTAGACTATATAGCCATTTTTCAGGCTGCTATCGCTGTTTTTGACCAGCCCTACCAGAATTTCGATTTTTCAGGCTATTGTGATCGTTATTAATAATTCTTTATGGATTTCTTCAGTTTTGACACTTCCAAAATATACAAATTGCCAGTCCAAAATATCAAATTGGCCAATTTTCACCTGTAATCAATGTTTTTGACCATTCCTACAAGAATTAGTATTTGTCCGGCTCTTCTCGTTGTTATTAATCCTTCATCGGATTTTTTTTCAGTTTTGAAGCGAAATAACACAAATAAGCCAGTCCGAAGTGTAGAATTGACCATTTTTCTCTCAATGTTTTTGACCATTTCTGGAAGGATTTAGGTTTTTTGTTTTACCTAATGTTGAACGATATTGCATAATGAAAATCTGACATTATGATTCTTATGACGATCCATAATCTCCCTTTGGGGGGCGTCGGTGGCCGCAACGGTTTAGGTTTACACGGCGCTCATCACTGTAAGGTGAAGATCCGGGGTTCGAATCCAGCTGCCCTGCATTCGAACCCGACTTACAGATGGGCTTTTTTCGAAACCACCTGCACCTCGAGGGTTGATATAACCTCTGCTGTTGCGAACCCGTGTAAAAAAATAAAATAAAATAAATAATAAGTGTGTGGATTCCCAACTTAAACCTTATAAAAACAACAATGAGGCTTGTAGTATTTAGTTAGCACTTTTTCTTTGAAATATTTGGGGGCCTAGACGTCAATGGAACAGAATAAAGAAAAATAACCGCATGCAAGGTTAATTATGGTTTTGAGATAGAGGGGTTTAATTTTTTGAGATTTGAAAAAGCTTTTGAAAAATAAAAAGTTCTCCCAAGCAAATGAAGTAGTGGGCAACAGGTAGAAGGTGCATAAGCAACGATAACGTAAATGCAATAAATGGTAAGAATTACTAAAATGTTAAAGCTTTTTGAAAGTGGACAATTATTGTTTTATTTTAATATATTTTGACTTATTTAAATTTCCCTATATTTTCTACAATACAATAAATTCTATGAAAGTAGATAAACAAAAAGGAGGAAAATGATGAGAAAAATAAAAAGATAGAGCATCGTATAGTATATAGTACATATAAAATTGTATGAGATGTAAGGAAAAAGAAGGAAAAGAAAAGGTAGGGAAAACAGGGAGATTGATAAATTTCCAACTAACACAAATATTATATGAAATGCATTAACAAAACATAGGACAGAAAAAAAAGAAGATAAAACAAACCAATTTATAAATAATATTTAATATAAGATAAAATAGTAAAAGGGAAAATTAGTAAGATGAATACAATAATATATAAATTGAAGTGTATCTCCAATCTTTCACTTGCTTTTTTTTCTTTTCCTCCCGTTTTCTTTATATTCCATAAAATTTAAATATAGATTTGATGTTCTATCTTTCTATGCCTTCCTTTCCTTTAATGTTTTGTTGTAATCCAATTATTCCATATATTTTCCCTCCTATTCCTTTTAATATGTTTCTTATATTAAATATTATTGATATTTGTTTGAGGTTTTCATACTCTTGTTTTCTATTTACTTTTCCTCTGCCCATATATTTATATAATTTAATGCAATTTATATATTAGTTCGAAGTCTCCCCAATTTTATATATGGCTTTGTTGATTATCTTCCTATTTTTCATTTATATATAGCTTCATTGTTCACTTATTCTATTTTTTCTTCCTTTTCATCTTTTTTTGCCCATTTTCCGTATAATTTATAAATTGATTCAATATTGTATATCCAATAGATATTGCCCTGTTATAAATGTTTCTTTTTCTTTAAAAAATTATATACAACTGATGTTCAATCTTCCCATCTTTCTTTATCTTTTTACTTCTTTTTTATCTTATTTCCTATACGATTTTTTTAAGGTTCGTTGTGCGTTTGTGGTCGAACTCCATTATCAAAGGTTGAATATCAGTAAGGGCTCAGTTGGAACTAAAAGTTTTACTGATATTCAACCTTTGATTATTACCTATAATTTTGATATTAGTTCGAAAAGTATTCTTCCAATTTTTGTCTTCTCTTTTCAAGTTTTTCTTATAATCCATATAATTTATGTATAGCTTTGATGTCTCCATCTTCCTATTTTTCTCTTTTTTTTCTTTTTCTTTTTTTTCTTTTTTTGACATTATCCTTTATACTTTATTTATTGGTTCAAAATGTAAAACATTCCTTCTCTTTATTCCTTATATATTAAATATAGGTTTGATTTTCCATCTTTTTAATTTTCGATTCCTATTTTTTGGCCATTATATTCTATATAGTTTATTTATTTGTTCAAAATGTATCCTTCTTTATGTGTGTTCCCTTATGTTTTTCTGTTTTATCTTCTTTTTTAACTTATATTTCATATATTTTGTATATGCTTTGATGTTCTATCACCCTAATTTTCTTATCCCTTTTCCTTATTTTTTCCTATATATTTTATAATTTATAAATTGGTTCAAAATGGATCAATCTCCCTATTTTATTAAAACCTTTTCTCTTCTCCATTTCCCTTGCTTCTTTTTCTTTATATACCATATAATTTATATATAACTATGATGTGATCTTCATATTTTCTTTTCCTCTTTTTTGCTCGTATATTATTTGTAATTTATGTATTAGTTCAAAAAGTATACATCTTCCAATTTTTCCTTTTTTCCTCAGACTTTTCCTTTTTTGCCCATATATTCTATTCAATTTATAAATTGGTTCGAAATGTATGCATGCCCCTATTTTTTTTCAAAACCTTTTCTTTTTCTCCATTTCCCCTGCTTCTTTTTCTTTATATACCATATAATTTATATATAACTATGAGTTCCTGTTTTTCTTTCCCTCTTTTTTGCTTGTATATTCTATGTAATTTCGTATATTGTATGACGACTGAAGAGTAAAAGTAATTTATTAGCGCGAAAGGAAGGGGTTACTTATAACCCCGCCCCGAGGAATATCGAATACTCTGGGGTGAGGTATGACGTCTGGAGAGTATAAGTAATTTATTAGCGTGAAAGGAAGGGGTTATATTTGAAATCAGAGAGTCAGTAACCAGATCGAGACGCTCAAATGGCTGCAGTTTAAAACGAAATACGCCCAAAAGAAAAGAAAAAGAAGGAAAACACGCAGAAGGCCGGCGATGACCTCAGTTGTCGGCCCATAAACTTCCCACTTTATTATTATTATTTAATTTTGTTTCTAAATTGTACAACATTTCTAACTGCTTTGTTTTCCCATAATAAACCGGCTTTGATGATGACGATACAATCATCGAAAGCTCGGCAAATACCGAAAGAATTGTTCAGTTGTGACCTCACCGAAGATCCTTTTCCACGTAGTTTAGGAGCAGCTCGATCTATCATCTCATCTATAATTCTTTTCTTTCTCTTTTCATTTTTTCTCTATGTATTCCTTTACTTACTAATCGGTGCGATAGCCCTTAGAGCAGGACGTGGACCTCCTCAGTAAGTTTTCCTCATTCGTTTCGGTGTTCGGCCCTGAGGCCATCTCCTTACAACCGTCCGCCGTAGATCCTTCTCTACATCGTCGAACCACCTAAGTCGAGGGCGACCCCGTATCCTGGAGCCTCCTGGCTTCCATTTAGGAAATTCCTTGGAAGCCTATCTTGTGGCGTCCTCTTCACGTGACCCAACCATCTCAATCTTCCCTTCTTTATTTGAGCAACTATAGCCGGCTCGCTAAATACTTGCTTTAATTCGTCACTCTTGCGTACTTTCCATTCGTATTTTTTAGCACTTTTCTTTCCCGAACCCCAAGAATCTTTTCACTTTCTTTGCTCAACATCCATGTCCATGTATTCCCTATAATTTACATATTAGTTCGAAATGTATTCATCTGCCTGTCGGTTTTTTTTTTTTTTTGTCCTTCTCTTTTTCCCTATATTTATATGTATACAATTTTGATATTTCTCTCCCTTTTTTTTCCTGCTTTTATGTTAAATGAATTCTTATTTATATTCAGATTAGTATATTTTTCCCAGATGCACCTCGCCGTCGGGGAAGCGGTGGCGAAGGCCGCGACCGTTAAACTGGCAGCGATGGCCCTGGTAGTGTTCGCTTCTGCAACGGCCGCCCTCTGCGTCCTTCGCCTCCCCCGAGTCCCCAAGGAGCTCGGCCTCGTGGAGAAGGCCCGCGACGAGATCGCCTCCCTGGAGAAAAGAGCGAAACGACTCGAATACAACCTGGCCCTGGCGAGGGAAAGCGCCCGCGAGGCGTTCCTCAGGCGAGAGGCGGAAAGAAACGGAGACCTCGGGGCCCCCTTTTGGCCCGGATGCGTTTTCTTCCCGTGCGACCCGATCAACTCTACAGGCACTGACGTCAAGGAAAAGTCAAAAACGACTCTCTAACTTAAAATATATACACATATGTATATCACTTTAAAAAATTCCCTAAATGAGGCAGAGTTGAGAAAAGATGCGGCGTCCGAATTATACAGTACCGTCACAACACGCACGTTTGTCCCGAACCCTGTTTTATTTCCTCCCCCGTCCATCATTCTTTGCAGCCCCATGCTTTAACCCCTTCTTGCCCAATATGCCCCATGGCAAAACCAAATTTTGCAAATTTTCTAAAAATCCCATGAGTGTCTGGCGGAATGTTTTTCCTACAGTGTTTCATCCCGTGTATCGCCAACAATGATTTATTTGGCGCCAATGTAAAATCTCCATATTGGAATCTTCTATCTCCAACATGGCTCTTCACCACACCGCTGCATCTTTTATGAATTATCATATTTGCCAAATATAAACTTTCTCATATCGATTTTATAATTTAACCCTTTCTTGCCCAAAGTTGCTTCAGAGCCAACTTTAGCAATTTTGTTTAAGGTTAACAGGAAATCCCCTGAATTTATGGCGGGCTTAGTGTTATGCCCGTGTATTGGCAACACTGATTTTTTTGGCGTCAATCCGTACTTCTAACTATTGTATTTAACCGAATTTTAATAATATTCGTCTTGCTCTAAGACAACATTGGGCCATAAAGGGTCATGCTAAAAGACAAATATTTACACCATAGATTTATTTTAACATAATATTTTTATATATTTCTGGCATCATCTAAACAACACACCAGCATATTGTTTTTTCCCAATAACTTTCCACCAGACAAAAACTAATCTGTTTTTACCCATGAGCTTTTGAAAAAATTGTAAGATTAAACTAATTAGGATTGAAGAAATCCCAAAATAATATTTTTCTACCTTTATAATATTTTTATTGTCAAAGCATCAAATCTTTGTAATATCCTATGTATTTAGAATTGGTTGATAACCAATTATCTTCATGTCTTTGTATAAAACAAGACAGGAAATATTAACAATCACAATCATTTTGAATTGTTTTGGCTAAGCTGATGTTAGTTTGTAATGTAAAGGAAGAACGACAAGGGGCCCAGGATGCAGCCATGTGGAAATCGCCGATATCATCTGTTAGCACATTTCCTACATCAGTACTTAAGGTAAACTAAAAAACTTGGTCGATATGACTAGAATATTTAATTTATAAAATAATTTCTAACTGTAGGGTAAAGACATATTAAAGTACCAAAGGCCAAACAATTCAACAAAAATCCTGATTCTAAAAATTCACAAATAATTATTGATTAAACAGCAGTTTTCCAGCCAGCAATTGACAAACTACAGTATTATATCCTTTTGAAATTTCATAGGATACTCCCGTATTTATTTAATTTTTTTCAGATTGAAACATATTGATTACAATTAAATTTGATTAACGATATTCAAGATTTATAAGTTATTTCAGAAGGGAATAAATTTCACTTTTTTAATTATTTCAACAGATATTAACTTGTTTTAATTAATTGAGTTAGATCTTCACTGTTTTCTCTAAGCGCTTTTGGATCAATGCTGACCCATTATTTGTATTTTTTTTTTTTAATTCAATTACAACTAGTTTAACCTTCTGCAGTACTTTCACAAGAAATTTCTTTTCTACATACTAGGTAAATTTTAATTTTTCTTAAGCAACTGTTTTGTCCTGTGCATGAGTCAGCTAAATCAGGCCTTTGTATGGTTTATTATTCACCTTTTACCCATTTTCTAGAGCAATGTCACTTTTTTCTGCCTTTGTGTGCCTTTTTCAAAACCCATCTGCAAATTATTCACTATTTTCAAGTCCAGGGCCAGGTCATCGTATCAATGAATTCTCTGACTCCGCTCTCCCTCTCGCTAAACCTACTAAACGCATCCACCATGCAGATGTTATGTCCTAAAATCCTCAGAAATCAACCCAAAAAATCAATAGTGTACATTTCAGTGATTTACAGTGCAATATTTCGCACAACCTATTTCCCCATCCAGTGGAAACTATCTTCAATGCCCCCAATGCCAAAACCACACAAACCCCCTGTCCCATCCATAGACCAACAATCCTCCTTCCTATTTTATCGAAAATCTTTGAACTACTACTCTTTAAAAGACTAATACCATTTGGTCAACACTGAAAATTTAACTCCTCATCATCATTTTGGATTCCAACTTCTCCATTCCACTGTTCACTGTTCAGAAGTGCTTTAGAATAGTTGATACACATCATCAACTCTAGAAAACACGCAATACTGCTCAGCCGTATGTGTGGACATTAGAGAAGCATTTGACAGAGTGTGGTACTCCGCCCTCCTTTATAAGTTAAAATGTATCCTTCCTCACACATACTATTTTATCTGGATGTCCTTCTCCCAGATTAACTGTTTAATGTGAGAATCAGCACCAATTTTTCAATCACCACAACAATCAAAGCTGGCGTTCCACAAGGAAGTATCCAGGGCCCAATTCTCTTCACCATCTACACTCTCACAACCTACGCAACAACACTGCAATCTTATCAACTGGATCAAAAAACCTGCCCGTGTGTACATTAGCAATAAGATAATATAGCCATCAAACCAAATCCCGAACCATGGGCTTTACTTATATAGCAGAATTACACGTAACCCAGATTAAAATGACAAAAACTTAAAAAAAGATATGGACTACTCAGACACCTGACCAAAATCAACACTAAGCATACATAACAAACTAACCACTTACAAAACACTCATCAGACCTGTTTGGACTTACAGAGTCAAACTGTGTGGCCAAATCATCCAACATCCAATGAATTCAATCCAAAGTTCTCCGCCATACCCTTAATGCTACGTCTCCAATCAGACGATCCGTCAAGATCATAAGATCCCATTCTTGAAAGATCTTATCCACATATGCTTCCTCAATTTCCACTCTAACCTATCCCTCCTCCCTAACCACAAACCCTCTTTCTTCAATACCTCACGCTTACAATCCTCCACGTCAATGGCTTCGTGATCTTCTATCTTGACCCTCCCAAGTAAATAAAAGAGAGTTCCAGGACTGGTTAGTTTCTCTCCTTACTGCCACCTGTCTGATGTCAGATTTTCAACCAAGATCTCACATAAATAGATTAATTAATTGAAAGAAGTAATTTGGTCAATCAGACCACTAAATTTAACGGATTTATAACTATACTATTTGCTCAATGTATATTTTTTACAAATAAATAAAATTAAAATTAATCTATTCAGTATGAGTTCATTTTTCAGAAGTTTAACACACTATTTTTTTTTTTTTTTAATATATTTTTCAGGTGTTTCATTGTGATTCAGCTTTCATTTTTTCTTTCTGTTTCCTTTTTTTCTTACACAATGTTATTGTTTTTTTCTATGTTTCACTTTCTTAAAATAAACACTGTAGTGAAATAGTGCGCATTTAAGGTTATAAGTATGGAGAGTCAAAATACTGATTTGTAATTCTGTTATTCTGCTTCCTCTTTTTCCTGATTTAAGTAGATTTGCCAGGTCTTTTTATAATTTATTTTATTCAAGTATAACCTGGTTCTTTTTTTCCCCAACACAATGTTTTTATTGTTGTATTTTTACACTAAGCTTCACTTTCTTAAAAGCAAAAACTGTAGTTAAATGGTGCACCCTCTGGGGTGTAAGAAGGAAAAGTCAAGACACTGGCTTATAATACTTATTCTGCTTTTATCGATTCATACTTTATATTTTTCAAAAACAATCTACAATTTCTTTAGATTGTTTTCTAGTCTATTGCCGTAAGTTCTCTCGTAAATTTCAAGCAAGTTTTCTCCCTTTTTGGGCATTTATCCCAAGTTTTTCCTTGCTATATTGTTACTGAGATATTATTTATAGATATATATTCACTATTATACTGTTAAGCAGATGTTTACCATTTTCATAAATTTAAAAAAAAAGGCTTACTTTTATTTTTCTTAGATAAGATAATTTCCTTATCAAATGACACGTGTATTCTTGTTTATATTTTCCCCTTGCATTGTCCTCATTATTTGTACTATATTTAATCTTTTATATTATGTGTGAAACAACTGTAGATTTCATGTGATGATTTTGATCATAATTCTAGGAAGAAAATATTATTTATAAGCATAATAAACAGAGAATTTTTTTTTTTTTTTTAATAACGATCTGTTTAAAATCAATGTACAAATTTATCGGTGATCCTGTAATTTGTAATTGGAACAAACTGTCTGCACAAAAAAAGCATATAAACAGATCAAATATTATTCCTAAAGTATTCTTGCTATTTTTTTTAATATATACCATAAAATCATAAATTAAATAATAAAACCAACAATTTTTTTTGTAAAAAATATTTGTGTCAAAATGATACAAAAGTGCTCACAAAATAAAAAGACTTTCTCACACTGGAATTCTTGATTTTTTATCAATACAAAAATATATTTTAAAATAATATAATGTAAATATAACATTGATTTTTAATATAAATGAAACTATTTTTTGTTTTTTATCAACTTTTTTTGGCACCCAATGAAATTTCTATGCAGTTCGTAGTGGTATGATTTGGTGAGAAGGTGTTGAATAATAAGTGAAATTTGGAATAAAGATTTATTTAACACAAATTAAAAATTTATATTTAAAAAAAAATCAAAATAAAATGCTTAAAATGGAAAACACTGGAAGAAAAATTAAGCAACTAAAAAACTGATAACAGAAGTGGACTTAAAGTAAATTTTTTTAAGCATGAAAAGAAAGATTGTTTTAAGTAGTTATTTTAGATTTTTTCTATTTATCTCCCTCATTATTGCTAATTTTTTTCTCCTCCTCCCTTAGAAAGAATGAAGAGGTCAAACTATTTTTAATACCTATTACAATAAAAAGAACATAAATATTCCCAAAAGAGCAAATGGGACAAAAAGAAGGAAATTACTTTTATTCATTAAAAACTCTGCACTAGCGAGAATTTCAAAAAGTGGAAGAAAAATTACAAGTGGATAGATGAAGAAAGTTCAAAAACAGAAGACCAAGATGTGACAAGTCTTCTAATCATCGGACGATTCAAAATCCCATTTCACAGCATTTCAAAACGTATTTTTATTATTCTTTTCTTTAAACCTACTGTGAACATTAGTTTTAAATTCATTAGGATTTAAGATTTTTAAAAATAATTTCGTTTTGAAAGTAAATTCACTTTTTTTACAAGGAAAAAAAGTTTTCATTATTTTTATTTTATTTTTTTTTATTATATAAACGGCTGGTTGTTTTTAGTAACTTATTTGTAGCCGACAAAATGAAACCGAGCTGCTTTAAACGGGTCCGTCCACCTCGGTAAAAAGACCACCGCGGAATTCTTGGATCCCTTGTAAGCTGAAGCCGACTCTCTGTATTAATAATTTTTATAAATCAGCCTCTCTGAACAGATGAAAAACAAAGATGAAGGTCGAGAAGCGAAAGATGGCAATTTTTTTTAAATGATTTGATGTTTTTTGATTTTTTTTGTTTTTTGTTTTTTTGTTTTTAAGATGTTGAAATGAACGTTTGGTCGGCTTTCAACGAAACTGAAAGGTCTCCTTGACTGGACCCCCGTTAAAGGGTTATCGCATAAAAAAAGGAATGCACACAATTTTCGGGCGTGACCCGACACTTATTCCCGCTCTTCACACCCAAGGAGTCCAACCCTCGTACAACAAGGAAAGGTTGTCCAGATTGGTCGCTTCCGATATCGTCCAATCCACCTTAAACAATAAATTAAAATATTTTACTCTGACTATAATCAAATTAATTCGATTATCTTACTTGTTGTTTCACAGAAGATCTTACGCCAGGGTCAGGATCCCGTCCTTCTAGTTTAAATTTAACTCGTCTCCAGACGTTCATGGCATAAGCGTTCCTCTCTTGCATTCCTATTGAAACAAAAAAACACAATAAATACAAAATAATTTAAAAACAATAATTAAAAAATAAACAGAGCATTTAAGTTTTAAGGTTTCTCCGTTTGGCATATACAGAGATGAACCTTTAATTTTGGTCATAACCATTCATTTTGGTGAAAAACAAACTGAAGATGGCGAAATCCCAAAACATATCTCACAGACCAACCCTGCAACGTTACACAGATCAAAATGATCCAAAACAACCGTCTTTCATAAAATTTAAGCATTTTTTTAAAGAGAAAAACAGTTTTACAATATAATTTCTTAAAAAAGTGTACCCTTGACTGGAAAAGATTGCAGTGGGATTGGGCGACGTTAAGGTTATAAGCAGGGAGAGTCAAGATATTACTTTACAATTCTGTTATTCAACCTTTATCAAAACTTCTTTTTATAGTATCTCTTAGTCAAAAACAATCTGAAAGTTTTTCATCATTTTCAAAGCTAGAACGTGTTCTCTTGTTTAGCTAGTTTTCTCCTTATCTTATACTTAACTCAAGTTTCTTATTGTAGTATCAATATTGTTTTATTATTTTTTATTTAACATAAATCTGTTGATGATTTTAACTATTTTCATTAAAAAAATTTAGACAACTAATTTTTACGCAAATTTTCATTTTTCTTAGGTTTGTCAGGTCGTTTTATAATTTAGCACTTGAGTTTATTATCAGTTTTTTCTTTAATTTTTCCTGCAATTCTCTTTCTTGAAAGAAAAGACCTACAGTGGTAGGTGAGACGTCAAGGTTATAAGAGAGAGAAAAGTCGCTGACTTGTAATTCCGTTAATCGACCTTTGTCAAAACCTGTTTTCCTATTTTCTCTATATTTTTCTGTAACAATGTGCAATTTCTTCAAGTTTGTTCCTTCCTGTTTCATTTTTGTACAGAAATTTAATTTTTTTTACTTTTTTATTAAGACACAATTTCTGGAAAGGAGTTGAAGAGAAATCAAGGTTATAAACAGGGAGAGGCAAAACACTGACTTACAATTCTGTTATTCCGTAATCGGACAAAATTTTCTCTCTTTTCACTCCCGTTTTGCACTGCTCCATTGCTATTCAGGTTTTATTTTTCATTCATTTTAATCTGTGTTAACATGTCTTCTGATTAAAGATGTATTCGAAATTAACTTATTTTCCATTTTTCTTAACCAAGGCAGAGCAAGTTTTGCTGACTATGAACAGATTTGCCATCTGATCACAGTGTTTTACTTTTATATGTCACACTTAAAAGAAAAAAACTACACTGAGTTGTTGTAACATGTCAAGGTTATAAGCAGGGAGAGTCAAGCCATCTATGTATAATGATGTTATTCTGACGTGTACTAATCCCTGTTTTTCTATTTTGCCCTCATTTTGCTGTAACAACATGCTATTTTGTTAGATTTTCTTGTAAATTGACCCAGCTTTCTCTCTTTTTGCTTATTTATTCCAAGTTTTTCATTGTGACCTTCTTGTTCCCTTTTTTCAATCACAATTTTTTTTTTACTTTTATAGTGTTTCTCTTTCTTAAAAGAAAAAAAACTGTAGAGAAAAGGTGCATGGTCAAGGTTATAAGCAGGGAGAGACAAGATGTCTATGTACAATTCTGTTATTCTGCCTCTACTGATTCCTGTTTTCCTATTTTCTCCATTTGTCTGTAATAATCTGCAATTCTTTAGACTATTAAGATGAGTTCTCATGTAAAATTGACTTTTTTTAATCCATTTTGAGTTTTTCATTGCAAAAATGTTTATTGCTTTCACATTATTTTACACTAATTTTTAAATTAATTCTTTTTGCCCCCTTTGACATTCATCACCTTTTTGTAATTTATTGCTCAAGTTTTATACAGGTTTTTTCCCAACACAACAATCCTATTGTTTTATTTTTGTATTATGCCTCACTTTCTGAACTGAAAACTCACAGTGAGGTAGACGTCAAAGGACGTGATGTCAAGGATATAAGCAGGGAGAGTCAAGACCTAAGTTTCTTGACTATGAGTACATTCGCCAAGACTTTTTATAATTTATTGCCTAAGTTTATAAAATGTCTCTGATATATTTTTGTTTGTTTCTTTCCCTCGCAATGTCCTAATTATTTTATTTTTATATTAAGTACTTTTTTATTGTTTGTTTGAGCAAGTTTTGTCTTTGTCCTAAGTTTTTTCGTTGTGGCATTGTTATTGAGCTTTCATTTCTTCACCAGGTCATTTTATAATTTATTTACTATAAAAAATTTCTCAAGGAAATGTAGGAAATGAATACATTAATAATAAAATAAAGAATAATTTTACCTCTTCTCTTTGGCTTCTTTTCTTTCTCTTTTCTCGGTGATTCACAGATCGTCGACTGCCTTACCAAAGGCGGCCTTTTAGTCAGCGTGTCTGAAACGCTGAACGCTAACAGCTCCATATAAATAGAATCTTAAAAAAAACACCAAAAGCGTACAATTATGTTCTGAAAAATGATCAAATTTTAACTTATTTACCGATTTGTTGTTGTAGAGTTTTAGCGTCTTCGATAGCTTTGTTTATTAAGTTGGCGTTTAAATTAGTCGCCATCCCGACGCTTTTTGTCATCGACGATATAGTGTCCGTGAATTTTTTATACCTCATCAAATAACTATTGAGCCCAGACAGGCCTGCGTCTTCGTACTTGACCATAGCTTTCAACAGCGTCCTTATGTCTGAGACTATCCTGTGATGCTTCGACATCGTAGATCTTATCATCGTAGCTTTATTCTTGACGCAGTCTTCCGAACTGAGCAGGTTCATTTGAAGCGGTTCGATTTCGCTGTTGAGATTACGCACAGATTCTGCCGGGGGAAAAATTTTATTTTATTATTTTTTATTTTATTTATTTATTTTTTTAATTAATAGATATTTTACCAGAAATCAGTTCTTCAGCTTTGCAAATCCATTCTGAGTCTATTTTCCTTTTTGGAGGAAGAAGAAGGACGAGTCCTTCCTCAGCAGAACTCAGTGCGACTGCGTTGCTCGTTATGAGTAAATGTGTGCTTTTGCACTCCATAACCAACTAAAACGCCATAAAAAAAATCATTCAAAATTTAAAAAAAAATATTTAGGAATTTTTCAAACGAACCACAGCGAAGGCACTATCGTAAGAAAGTGCTTCAGAAGTAGGCGTACGCAGAGCTTCGTACGTCAGTATGGTACTGCACATGTTAACGACAGTCATGGCCAGGTTTTTCTCAGCTTCAAGCCGTTCTTTATTGGCAGTGACTGACGATTCGAAAGCACTCATGACTTCACTCAGGGCCGGGTTGGCTCCCGTCGCCCATTTGAGACGTTGCTCCGAGCTCGTAATCAAGTTGTTCTGCTCGAGTACGACTTCCTCCATCTTCCTCTGGAGAGCTAGCAAAGTCGTCATCGCTTTTCTCATCTCCAACATGAAATTTCCTCGATCTTTATCAAAAAATAAGTTGTTGTTTTTTTAAATTTTTAAATTTTGTAATTTTAATTTTTTTAAAATTACTTATTGGCGGCGTTGGTGAGTTGACAAGGCAGTGTTCATGAAGCCAATGATGGCCTGTCAGCATAAGCTGAAGCCTATGCGCGAGTGCTCTGGCGTTGTTGAGCTCACGTTCAAGCCTTGCTCTTGTATCTTCTTGGCGCCAGATCGCTTCAGCCTGCGAAACGACCCCTGACGCGTGCCTCACTTGCTGTGGTTTTCCAAGCTGGTCAATCATCTAAAAAAAAAATTTAAATCAAACATAAAACTTTTAAAAAATGTTTACATACCTTTTTGCATAATTCATCCAAAGGTACTCTGCTTTGTGTGCCGATGTCTTTCTGTTCGACCTCTCCTTTAAAGCGAAATTAAAAGTTTTAAAAAAAATTATGTTAAGGGTTTAAACATATTTTAAGTTACCGGTAACATCGAAGCCTTCTTTTTCCAAGAGCAGGCAGATAAGGGTTGCAAGGGATAGAGAAAAGACACCGAGCATTTGGTAGCTGATGTATTCCGCTATGTATTTTCTAACCGGACGGGTCAGCGTCTCCCTGTCGTGAGGTACTTGGGGAGATGGCGCGCCCCTGAAGCCCGCCGCATCCGCCCGGCTCATCCTTAACACTTCGAGCATCGTCTGAACTCGTTTCACAAAGAACATGGATTCAATGATCGCCATCGGCGTTTCCTGGCAGATCGGCGCCTAAAAATACCGTAAAACATCACAAACATGAAAATCGCAATTGGTTAAAACACTTACGGTATACTGCTGCATTGCTTCGCGTATCTGGTCTACGATTTTCCAAGCAGGAGGCGACGTCAAGGATTTCAGATGGCCGAGCAGAACGTCCCTGCCGTCCTCGAGGTTTGTGAAAAGTCCGTTGAAGCCCATTAGCAACATTTGACCTTGAGTGAGATTATCCTCACCATGCGAGAGCAATTCTTCAAACTGCATTCTTAGAGATTCCACCGGTACCATGAAAGACGTATGCTGGCTCTATAGTAATAATAATAATTATTATATAATAATAGTAAAAAACTGTAATAAACTTACTTCCATTCCTAAAATGACAAAACGTAAATGTCGTTGTAGCTGATTAAGCAGATCGCTGAGGGGTATCAATATGGAAGAGACTATCTGTTCAAGCTTGTCGACCATTGCGACGACGGAAGGCTCTTCGCTTTGCAAAGCCTGCATCGCCTCAACAAGAATTATTCCAGTGAAGTTATTGTGAAGGCCTTGCAGAGCGTTGTACTGCGAGAATGCACACTGGATGCATTTGTACGCCACGTTTATGTCTGCCGGTATCTCATCAGGGTTGCTCAGGGCTGGTAGTAACTGGGAGAGTTTAACAGCAGTCCCTGCTACGGTGCACATGTCGTCTAGGAACCAATCGCCATCCCTTGACATCAAATTAAGCAAGCAGTCGCCAGCGCCTAATATTTAAAAAATTATTAATATCGAGTCACTTTATACCAGATGATTTTTTTTATTACTTGTTGCTTGAGATTCGACCATTAAGAATTTTTTATTGAGGGCGCAGAGTGCAGTTAATACAACGCCGGTTATTGCTGATGTATCGCTGGGCTGACCACTTTTTATTATCCTGTCGAGGGATACGGATCCAGATCTCTCACCCTGCTGGGAAGAAAGAGAATTCCCTTCGACACGCCGCATCGCTTTGGTGAGCCAGGAAGTAGCTTCAGCTGTATGTCGATGCAGACCTGCTGAATACATCCCAGCTTGTCTAATCGCATCCTCACTGACAGCAAACTCTTGTTTCATTTCAACAAGAATACGATCACAACTGAAAAAAAAAAATTACATAACTCAAAAAAATAAAGATTTATATCATGAGTTACGTTTTTGGCGACATGTCTTTGCATAATTGCTCGGCCCAAAGTTTATAAAGCATCATTCGATGTCGTTTGAGATAAGAGGCCGGGTACTGCTGCGATATCTCCCAGTATTTGCCGAGCATGTCGAGAAGGGTGGCGGTGAGCTGGGTCTGTTGGACGCAGAGTTCGCCTACTTCTTTCTCCGACTGGTTGCACTGTTGGACCATCTGGCTCCGGCCGGCGTTGTGCAAGAACTCCTTGATGAGGTCGAACACCTGGCAGACATCGGACTGCGGCCTGCGCTTCACCTCGGCAACCCACTGTGCCATTTCCGCACCTCTCAGCGTTGCAATGACAGTCTGTAAAAAAAATTAACACTTATTAAACCAAACACTAAAAAAAAATAAACAATAAAAAGTAGAATTATAATTAACCTGAAATTGATTAAGAAACATTTCTGATTCCTGAATTCTGGATTTTAAGGCTTGAAGCGTTGCCTGTTTTGCTGAGTAGACTTGAACATGCTTTGCATACCGAGCACCTAGGGAGTACAGCGCATGTTGAGGCTGTCCTTCTGCCTCCTGACAAACAAACAAAAAATTCAAAAACAATTATATAAAACAAACAATCGGACAAACCTTCAATAGCGCCATCTGTGTATGACGCTCTTTAAGGCTCTCCTGGCTCTTGCGTATTCTCAAGTCATCCCTCTGCCAAATCTCTATCATATCGACAAGATCATTCAGCTCGTATTCCAAAACCCTTCTGTAATTGTTTGAAAACAATGTTCAATATTGACTCTCTTTTAAAGGAATTTATGTCGTTTTACTTGTTCTCTAGCCATTGATGTTTTGCCTCGGTGATCCTCACTTTGAACATGCAACTATTGACTTCGTGTTCGAGGTCTTTCTTACTCTGCTTTGTCTCTGAAACTAATTCACGTCCTCCGCCGTACACTGCTCCTAAAATTAAAAACAATCAACATTAATATGTGAAGTTGAGGTGATGGATTTTGATGGGATTGGTGAGAAATCTTGTAAATAAACTGCTTATTTTACGACGAGACATTTCCTTGAACCTGTATTAAATAAATTAAATTAAAAATTTAAAAAATAAAAACAATGGAAAGATCTTAAACTGGACGGCGCTACGGTCCAACACTTATGCAATGTGGAAGAGCGTTGCTGGTTTAGCCTATTCAATTGATTTAAGGCAGTGTAAATTGTAATTCATATGAGTCATTCGAACCCAATATACTTGCAATTGAGCCTTTTTTTTTTTTTTCAAAAACACCGGCACCCCGACGGTTCATATAATCTCGTAGTTGAAATACTCTCGTAAAAAAATAATAATAATAATAAATAAAAATGAAAGATATTGAACTGGACGGCGCTAGGGTCCAACACTTATGCAATGTGGGAAAGCGTTGCTGGTTTAGCCTATTCAATTGATTTAAGGCAGTAAATTTTAATTCTTTTAGGTTAATTATTATTCTATTTAGGGTATAAGTAAATTTTAAAGTTTTTTTGAGAGCTTCGGGGGTCAAAAGTGTTAGGCGTTGACACGCGCTCGTCACTGTAAGGTAAAGGTCTCGGGCTTGAATCCAGCGACCCTGCATTCAAATCCGAAATTTTTTAGAAATGGGCTTTAAAAAAAATAATAATATTTAATAAAAAATACTAATAATAAAAAATAAAAAATAATAAAAACCCGAAAGATCTCGAACTGGACGGCGCTGGGGTCCAACACTAATGCAATGTAGAAGAGCGTTGCTGGTTTAACCTATCCAATTGATTACAGGCAGTGTAAATTGTATTAGGCTGGTGCAAAAATAGTACAAAAGGCAGTCAAAACTATTTTTAATTTTCATAAAACAAAGCAAAATTATTGGAAATATTTGACATCATAATCTATACATTTTTGCCAACGTGTATTAAGAGCTTTTATTCCGCTGACATAATAATCTTTATTTCGATTCACAATAAAGTTATTAAAATTTCCTATCGATTGCTCCAAGAACGATTTCCTTGCTCCAAAGCTCAATTTGAACTTTTCGTAAAAAGTGCAAAAATTAACATGTTCCCGGATTTTTGTATTTACTGATTAATGACTGAAGCTAGGAAAACATTTTAAAAAAGCCATCTTGTCCAGCGTAAAATTTTCTAAAAAATGAAACCTAGCGCGGGTCTGTGACTGAAGAAAATTCACGTAAGACAACAAGGGAAATTGCGGAAGGGGTTAGAATTGACCACTCAACCGTTGTTCACCTTCTGGGGCAAATTGGTAAAGAAAAAAAACTCGATAAAGTGGGTAACGAACGAATAACCGAAACCAAAAAAAATCGACATTTTGAAATTTGCATGTCTCTGTTGCGCAATCAAAATGATCCATTTCTCGATCGAATCATCACGTGCGATGATAAATGGAGCGCCAAAACATTTCCCGAAACCGAAACGGTTATGGTGACCGTTTGGTGGGGCTCTTCACTATAATTTCTTGCATTATGATGAAACTATCACCACAGAGAAATATTGCCACAAAAATGGACAAAATGCACGGGAAACTGTAACGTCTTTGCCTAGCATTGATAAACCGTAAGGGGGAGATTCTTTTTCACGATAACGTCAGGCCACTTGTCGCAATGCCAATCCTGCAGCCGTCCATATTCACCCGACCTCTCGCGTACGGACTTCCACTTTTTCGGGGCATTTTGATCACTTCTTGAGGGCTAAAATGTTTAGAGAACGCGGTGAAGTCGAAAACGCCTTCCAACACTTGATTGTGAGTCGTAATAAAGATTTTTATGCCAGTGGAAGTTATTATGTCAGTTTATTACATGTTGGCAAAGATGTATAGATTGTGATAAAAAGTATTTCGAATAAATTTTCTTTATTTTATAAAAATCGCAAATAGTTTTGACTGCTTTTTCAAAACTTCAAAACGTGCATTATTTTTATACCAGCAGTTATATACATAAACCATCGCTGCACCGTGCATTCGCTAATGTTTCCCTCACCACAAATCATATTGATGTTACGTGCGTTTGAGCCGTACTTCGCCAAAGTTTATATTCGTAGAAATAAATTTGACGAAATTATAGCTTGTACAAATTTAATTTTGCAAGTCCTCCTTATCAAATTCTGTATAAACATAAAATGTTTTGTATAAAAGAAAACAGTTAAAAGTATTTATTAAAATCCATAAATTAGATTTGAGGATTTAGCTTTGTTTACATGACAAGCACCTAGGAAAATAAAACAAATTTTCAAAACCTGCATTAATTTTGTACCAACCCAATAATTCTTTAAGTTAATTAATTATTTATTATTATATTGAGGGGACATGTAAGTTTTAACGTTTTTTTTTTTTGGGGGTTTAAAGGTTTTTTTTTCCAAGTATTCCAACAACATACTCACTTACTCACTTACTCACTTTTATCTTTTTTTTTTTTTTGGGGGGGGGGAGGTCGGTTGCCGTAACAGTTTACGCGTTGATACGGCGCTCATCACAGTAAGGTAAAGGTCCCGGGTTCGGATCCAGCGGCCCTGCATTCAAAGCCGACATTTTTTACAAATTGGCTTCTTTTCAAAAACACCCGAGGTTTATATAACCTCGTAGTTCAAATACCCTCGTCGAGAAAATGAAAAAAAATCATATCTTAAACTGAACGGCGCTAGGGTCCAACACTTATGCAATTCAGAAGAGCTTTGTCGGTTTAGCCTATTCAATTGATTTAAGGCAGTGAAAATTATAATTCTTATGAATCATTCGAACGCGACATACAAATAGTCCTTTGTTTTTTTCTCCTTTTTTTTAAAACCACCCGTGGTTCATATAACAATCGTAAAAAAGAGTCTGCTGGTGAATTTCACCCAAAATACATCCAACTTCAAAATTGGTGAGATTGGTGGTTAACACTTTTACCTCCTTCTGCTTTTTCTGAATACGTCTGACAATCCCACAATAGGAAAATTAATCTGAATTAAAATTTGTGCACTTTCTCCAAAATACATCGTGGTTCCAATTTGGTGAGATAGGTGGAAAATATTTTTACTTCCCGCTGCTTTTTTGATAATGTATCTGAACCCCCCCCCCAAACGAGTAAACCAACCTAATTAAAAACTTTGCTGGTAAATCCCCCCCCCCAAAAAAAAGAGACTTAGAATTTGGTGAGATTGGTGGGAAACCCTTATCTACAGCCCACCTCTCGCAAATAAATCAGATACTTTGGTCGACTTGAATTAAAAATATTGCAAGTGAATTTCCCCGAAATACATCGTGGTTACAATTTGGTGGATTTGGTGAGAAACTCTTGACTCCCTCTCCTTTTCTTGAATAACTCTTGACAACCCACAACGGTAAAATCAACCAACATATATATAAAAATATATTAAAAAAATAGAGTAAAAGACATCACACTTCGAATTTGGTGAGATTGGTGGGAAACCCTTATCTACAGCCTACGTTTTGCAAATAAATCTGATACTTTCGTCAACTTGAATTAAAAATATTGCAAGGGAATTTCCCCAAAATACATCGTGGTTTCAATTTGGTGAGATTGGTGGGAAATACTTTTACCTCCCGCTGCTTTTTTGATAATGTATCTGAACCCCCCCCCCAAACGAGTAAACCATCCTAATTAAAAACATTTGCTGGTAAATCTCCCCCCCCCCCGCCAAAAAAGAGACTTCAAAACAGCCTACCTCTCGCAAATAAAACTGATACTTTGGTCAACTTGAATTAAAAATATTGCAAGAGAATTTCCCCGAAATACATTGTGTGGATTACAAAATACAATTTGGTGAGAAACCCTAGAACTACCTCTCCTTTTCTTGAATATCTTTCTTTTGACAATCCCATAACGGTAAAATCAACCAACATATATATAAAACATATATTTAAAAAAATAACGTAAAAGACATCATACTTCGAATTTGGTGAGATTGGTGGGAAACCCTTAACTAAAGCCTTCTTCTCGGAAGTAAATCTGATACTTTCATCAACTTGAATTAAAAATATTGCAAGTGAATTTCCCCGAAATACATCGTGGTTACAATTTGGTGGATTTGGTGAGAAACACTTTAACCCCCTCTCCTTTTTAAAAGTATCACTTGACAACCCATAAGGTAAAATAACATATTAAAAAAATAAAGCAAAAAACATCAGACTTCGAATTTGGTGAGATTGGTGGGAAACCCTTAACTAAAGCCTTCTTCTCGGAAGTAAATCTGATACTGTCATCAACTTGAATTAAAAATATTGCAAGTGAATTTCCCCGAAATACATCGTGGTTGCAATTTGGTGGATTTGGTGAGAAACACTTGAACCCCCTCTCCTTTTCTTGAATATCTCTTGACAACCCACAACGGTAAAATAACATATTAAAAAAATAAAGCAAAAAACATCAGACTTCGAATTTGGTAAGATTGGTGGGAATCCCTTAACTACAGCTAATGGTAGTAACCATAACATTTTCTACTAAATACGGTAAACTAAAAGGAGTTATCAATGTAGATTTGTTTTGGCTTCATTAGAAGTCTCCCAAGTTAAATTTCATTTGGTGGTTTGGCAAGATTTTGGTGATTTGGAGTTAACTTGCTACTCCACTTGTTTTGTATATATGTTTGTACTTCGTTTCATTCAACAGGGTTAATTTTTTCAACGAGCCGAAGTTTATAGTCTAGATTTATCCTGATTTCCAAACAGACATTTTGACAAATGGAATGTGTAAAGAAGTCGTTCCTTGACAAAATCCAGAAGCCCATTCAAATCGTGTCTTTCATTCAGGAAAACAAAATCCACATCGGCCAAGGTCAGGGAAATCGGAATGCCTGGCAGACTTCCAGGCCAACCCCCTTCTGTACAGCGGCCGAGAATAAATCTAAGTCGCTTTTAAAAAAAAAAGAAACATCAATTCACGTCCTCACCAGTATAGCCGTCTTCGTTCAGGGGTGTCCAATCGATGAGAGGGTCGTAGACGAAGGCCTCGAGCAGTGTCAAGAGCGTCTCCTGGCCGGATTTCAACACCTCCAGAACCCTCTCGCACGTCTGCCTGTATATGCCCTACGGACAAAAAAAAAATAAAATAAAATAAACAAATTGAATAGTTTATTAAAAGCTCTTCTACTGTGGAAAAGACAAGTTTTTTCCGGTTAAGAAAATAAAGGAGCCAAGACGGCCAAGGACTCAATCGATATCAGGGGGGGGGGTGTTTGTTCAGTCGCCGCCCTCACATCCTCAACCAAAATCTCATTACATGCCGACAACCCCTTCCGACATCCCCTTGACACTAATTTGCCCTTATTGGGCCCGAGAAAAGATTTTACTGTTCCAGCTTATTTTTAATTAAAACTAAAAAAGCAATCGTCACTTGTGGAATTAGTTAAGGAAATTACTCGTTTTTCTTACTTTTATAATCAATATTTTATATTAACATATAGTAAATAAATCGTCATGAACACATTTCAGATTCTTGCACCTCAGAACATTCACCTCTTTCATTTCTTCACCGAATAAAAAATCCTATTATACTAAAAAGATTGCCAACCAAGCAATAGTGAAAAATACCAATCTTTAAAACGAATATTTATTATGTCAAGATAAAAAATTCTGAAATAAAGATCGAAAATATGCATAATAAGATACTTATTGTAAAAGATACTTATATTCAATAATAACAAAGGTCATCACCTAATAAGATAATAAGAAGAGTAATTCTGAAAATGTAAACAATTGCTCAAATATCTACACAATCTTTATAAAATAACGATTTTAAACATATATAATATGATGCCAAGTGTGAAATAACACAACAATATCGTATTTATAAAAAAAATCCCGCCCGCTTGTAATTTAACTTGATTTGTATATATTAATCGAAGTTTAACGTTTTTTTGACGTTTAATAATTGAGTCTGTGTAAAAAAGTAAAAATTGTAAATTGCTAAGAAAAATGAAAACAAGACGGACAGATAAAATTTGTTTTAATTTTGTTTTTAGATTTTTAATTAACATTTCAATATCGCGAATTTCCTCCTCTTGCCTGAATTACATCTCGAAGGCGCTTAGGCATACTTTCTACCAGTCTGGAAATGTCTTTTGCTGGAGGTTAGCCCATTCTTCTATGTTTGGGCCCGTCCAGTCTCGCTTCTGATTAGTAAATATACAGAACTTAAGTACAATAAGCTACACGTTTAAATAGACTGACAGGCAAAAAATTCCACCCACTTGTAATATAACCTGATTTGTAAAAAACGTAAAAACGCCTGGGCATACTTTCTACCAGTCTGGAAAAATCTCTTTGCTGGAGGTTAGCCCATTCTTCAAGAAGAGTCCTTTCAAGATCGTGGAGTGTATCAGGAAATGATGGACGTGGTTAAAAGTTGGATGTGGTTCAATTCTGGAGAACGGGCTGGCCAGGCTAAGACCATGATTTTATGCTGCTGACGGTATGTACTATGCGAGCGATATACGGACGGGCATTATCGTTTATTATAATAGGATTGTCGCTGATTTCATCGAGGACAGACAACGCATGATGTTCCAAAATTTCATCCACATAGCGAGTAGCCGTCAAAGACCATCCACGAACAACAACCAACTCTGTGCGACTCTCCATTGAAATTCCAAGCTTTGCACCTTTTATCTCGCCTTCTCCACACTCTTTCACGTCCATCTAGAGATCGTAGAGCAAATCTACACTTATCTGTAAACAGTACAACAGACCAATCGTCGAAAGACCAATGGCTGTGTTCTCGAGCAAATGGGAGCCGTGCAACTCTGTGTTCTGGTCAATTCTGGTCCTCTTACGGGGCGAAAACCCACCAGTCCATACTGATTTTATCTTCTTCGAGCAGTGCGTTCAGAAATTCGGACACCTCGAACCTCCTGGAGCTGATGAATCGCTTGAACAATTGCATGGTGTCGACTGCCGCAAAATTCTCAAAGTCAAAAATCCTGTGGTTCTGTTACCCTAGGGCGTCCAGAAATGGGCCTTCTATGGTAGGACCTAGTTTCAAGAAAACGTCTAACGGCTTCTCGCAGTGCTCCATAGGGAACTCCGATGTCAATAGCCGCACACCTGATAGAACGTCCATCATCAGTAAGTGTCACACCATGCGCCACATCCTCAGCACTAAGTGTCATTTTTAAGTTTAAAAATTCAAAGTAAGATAACAAAGATGAACACTAAACTTTTTATTGTTCAGAATTCAAATGAGACTGAATAAACATTTTAAATTCCGTAAAAAGTAAACGTTGAAAAAAAACCTTTATCCTAGTTTTGCATTGAGGATTAAGTGTGTTTACCTCGAATTGATTTTCCCAATTTAAAATTTGCCTGTCAGTGCATAATCGTTCAGTAATTTAAATCAATTAACCGCATACACTGATTTGTCAAGGTATGGTAAGGTGAAAAAGGATACTAGGAAGAGGTGGTTTGTACCCCCACCAGGCTCTGCAGCCTTCTGGCTTATTGTACCTTCCTAGTCCCTTAGTTCAGTGCAATAGACTCAATCCTTCTCCTTAAAAGTATCAGGTCATTGACTGTCGCTGCTGCAATTTGATTCCCTAAGTTTTTTCCGTACGTTAGGTTAAACCTCCATTGAGCTGTTGCTTCGCATTCGAAGATGATATGGGTGGCTGTTTTCTCCTCCTCATTACAGAATCTGTAGGTGGGATCAACGTTGTATATGCACATGTTGTGTAGATGTTTTCTCAGATGGCAGTGACCGGTTAGTAGTCCTACCACTCCTCTGAGTTTGGCCCTCTCCAATTGCAGCAGTGCTTTTGCCAGGCTTGGTGAGGGTTGTTTCCGAGTTTACTATGTCTAGCACCTCTAGAGTTTATCCACGTCTCCTTTTGTTTTGTTTGGATCCATTCTGCGATGGAGGGTTCAAGGTATACACGATGAAATTACAAACTGGTTAAGACAATTAATCGTCAGGACACCAAGTATTTTGATCTGTCAAGACCTCTCTGTCAATTGTGTCAACGGACTGAAAATGAATTTCAAAGTCAACTTTCGTGGTGCAGGTACAGAATTTACTAAAGTCCATAATCTCTTTAAGAACGTGACATGCCAGGACCCTACAGCCAGAAACACACTTACCCGATGCTACGCCATGCGACGCTACCCGATGCTACCCGACGCAAATTCAAACTCCGATTTTCCATAAGGTTGCATTACCCCCGTGCACATCTACCCGATGCTACCCGACGCAAATCCAAACTCCGATTTTCCATAAGGTTGCATTACCCCCGTGCACATCTACCCGATGCTATGCCACGCTAACCTACCCGACGCTCTGCGATCCCCACTGTCCAGATTTTCGTCGGGTCGCATCGAGTACAGTCGAAGACAAAAGAACCGGACACTCATATTTTTATTCAAACTACATGTATTATTGTCGTTATATTAATTACAACATACTTATTTTAATATAAACCAAATTAACTGTGATTAAAAATTAATTAGTTTTTATTTAAAAAATTAATTTTAATGGTTTGGTAGAAAATTAATCAAAACACCGGAATACGATTTTTTGATATAATGAATTTAACTAACAATTTATTGTACTCGCTTCGGCGGTACATATACTAAAATTGGAACAATTTATTACACGGTTTTGCTCATAAAATTTAATTAACAATTTATTTCATAGTTTTGCTCGTAAAATTACACCATTTTGTAATGTCGGGTAGCATCAGAACAGGACACTCATATTTTTTGTAGTTTATTTCAAACTAAGTACATGTAATTTTGTCGTTATATTAATTACAACATGTTATTTTAATGTAAACCAAATTAAACGAGATCAAAAATGCATAAGTTTTTATAAACATTGTTTAATTATGATGGTTAGGAGTAACTTTATTTAAAACAATTAAGTTTAACAAACAATTTATTAGATGGTTGTGCTCATAAAATTTAACTAACAATTTATTACAAGGTTTTGCTCAAAATAGTGCGTTAAGAACAAAAGATGCGTTGCGATTGTGATAGTGATTATTGTGATAAACGCTGTGGACTGTACGCGACGTGTGCTTGCGTCGGAAAGATGTGCACACCCCACCAAAACGTGCAAGGCGTCGGGTAGCATCGGGTAAGTGTGTTCCTGGATTAATTCCGGTATAACAACCTTCAACATACTGAGTACATTGCCTGCCAAGCTGCACATTTTGTCTGTATAACTATCGCTACCTCAATTTTTAACAACTTTATTTCTCTAAGTGTTCTTTGACAACAATCACAACAATAATCACTCTGCCATGACAACCATCACCCAAGAGAATAATTACTTACTACTAAGAGAAGACCCTTGTTCATATAGGTATAACGATCAGCGACAGCCGAGTACCTTCGTCTGTCAAGGTACACGTGTAGAAATTAGAACCGACATCTCGCAGAACTTTTACAGAAAATGCCTCTAGAGCCGAGCAATTGTGCAAGACGTGGTGTTAATTTTGCCCAGACCGTTGGGGCGAATGTTCGTCCGCGTGACTATTTTGAATTGATTTAGATCAACGATGAACGAGCCCATACGCAAATCGTTGTAATTTCACGAGAGAATTCCTCCGCGTCGGCCTTGGTGGCGAGGAGTAAAAAAAAAACAAGCTCAAGATTCCGCCGAGTATCCGGGTCAGCGCTCGTCTTGCTCGGCTGGACAACGTCAAATACCGGAAGCCGGCCCGGAATAGCCGTCCGGATGCAAAATCGATTCTCTATTAAAAAAAAAAAAGATAAAAAAAACCATCTGTCCATCTCGGTCTATTTCCAATTATTTATAAACCTTCGTCACGATAAATCAGGTTTTCCGGTAGAGAAGGCGTAGGTGGCATGTTGTTCTTTTAGGATACAGCAGAATGCGTAACAAATCTGAATTATATATAGATCGAGGAACGTTTTTTCATTATCTGGAATGGATTGACCATAGAGACGGTGAGACCTTCAGACCGTTTCAACATCCATACAAACCCGTTTCCTTACAAATTAAGGATGGTACGCGTAAGATGTATTTTTCCTTTCGTTTTTTTCCTTTTTTTTAAGTTGAAAACGTTTTATCA